GGGCTTTAAGGTGTGAATAGGTTATCAGGATTAACAGGCTCCTTGAAAGACAAGTCTCGGTTAAATGTTAAGGTAAGTTCATCATTTTCATTACTTTAGCACGTTGATCATAAATATTATGATAACTCGAAAACATACCACATTGCATGCTTGCTGAGTAAATAACTTTATGCTAATCGTGGTTACGTCATTAGGCTGTTTGGTTTAAGCGATACGACAACACTTTCTCTTTTTTCACTTGATCTAGACAGTTCTCTATTTATGCAAAAAATCTACGCCAGGAAATTGTTGGTTTCGTGCCATTGTACTTTTCATAAATATATTGATGTAAATATACTTGTGTTGTATTTTTCTCACTTTAACGCTTGAGGAAAAACCAAGGATAAATTACAACTTGCGCAATTACAAATAAAAAAGAGTTGCATATCTCCAACTCCAAGGGTGTCATGAGATTTATGAGCCCACGTTTGAATTTGTCTTGCGTTTGAATTTATCTTTGTTCGTCTACGTTCCACTTGTTTTTATATTTACGTGTGTTTTGATACGGACACGCAGTTAGAATTTTGTTGCTAGTTTGATTATTCAAAGCAGGGTGCAATGTCACGGATCCAAACGGAAAAAAAAAACTTAAGAATAGTCCGTGATTTCGTTTCCACCATCTACAATCAGGGTGATATAAGTGTAAATTTGACTGGAATGCGTACATCACAGGCGACATTATCGTTACTGATGTCGCAACATCGCGTGGTTATCTTGAGGAACTGCGCATACTCGCATACATAGTTACACAAAATCATGTGATGTCACGTTTTAATCCGTGAGCACTGTAGATAGTTTACGCAAGCCGACAAATAAACTGGTATGATGCATTAGGGCTTGCTACTGTGTGAAAAAACTGGGGGACCGTTAAGCTCCGTTTTTCACAGTTGAACGTGATAGCAGTATCGATCCTGTTTCTTGTGCGTAATTCAATCACTTAGTGTGTACTCTTTATTGCATGATGCTACTTGAACAAATTTAATTGTGGAATAGTACTGTGTAATTGAGAAGGTTGAAAGTGTCTCAATGAAGGTTTGGCACATGGCTGCATTTTGTGTAAAAAAGGGGTAACATACCATACTTTAAACAACAAGAAATATTATGTAATTACTGAGTTTCGCGAAAAAATTGAAATACAAAAAGAAGACACCTAGACGCAGCACACACTGACAACTGAAACATTGTTGGAGAAAACAGGCATACGTATATATGCGGTTACGAGAACACGTGCGGTGAAAGAAAGGATTAGATGAGCAGACAGATTGTATAATTGATGCGCTTCCAGGAAAGCTACCTCAGTAGCAAGCAACATAAGTGAGAGTTACGTGACACATGAATCCCCAGCTTTGTTTATGAAATACGCCTCTTCGATTTCCCGCGCTATACCGTGACGCTGAATCTAGCTTTAACTACCGTATTCCAAACAAGGGCGCGCAGCCACACTCTCTACAATATGATGATTGGTTAGAGAATGGTTGTTAATTCCTTTAGAGAAACTTTGTGATCTACAATTATATAATAAATTCTAAATAATACTTCCCACACGACAGCGCAGTGCCGTCCACCACACGATGTCCACACTGTGAAAGGAAATGATCAGATGTCTGCTCATCTAATCATTTTTTCCACCTCACGTGTTGTCGTAACCGCATACATATGTCTGTTTTCTCCAATGAAGTTTCAGTGGTTAGTGTGCGCTGTGTCCAGGTGTCTTCCTTTCGCACTTCAAATTTTTTCGCGCAACTAAGTTAAGATGAAGTACCAACTCGCCCAGCAGAACGTGCTTCTCAATATAATGTGTGTAAAATGTTTTAGAACTTTATGCGCCCACTACGCAGTCGTGAGGGAATACGTGCAGTAACCAGTGTGCCTTTTGTAATGGTTGGCTGTCTTTAGACCGTGAAGTCACGTTAGTAATAACGTGTTGTGATGCTTGATGACAATGCACGCTTGTATCATGCAATATAGCTGCGATATTAAATGTTGTGTTGTGAAACCTGTATGCAGGATACATGTATTTGTTAAACATGACAGTTATTTTCCTTGCATTTACAACAAGAGGAAGTTATTCATGCTTTATTTCCAAGCAGATGCATAGCTGTGCGGTAGAGCACTTGCATGCCATGCAAATTGCCTGCATGATTTCGATCATCACTCAGACCCGAAAATTTATAATATTTGTTTTATTTGCATTCTCTCAATTTCGATCATTGACAAGACGATTTTTCACGGAGAGCCACCGATGCCTACGCCTGAATTTCTGAAGAATGAGCTCTTTACCACTGTTACGTTAATGATGCATTATTGGCAAAATGGAAAGCGGATTACGTTTACAAAGTACATTTTTAGTGTCCCGTTGGCAAGAAATATTGTTAAATGCCTCCGTTGCCACGCGCACAGAGACCTATAGACACCCGTTTTAGCAGTCGTTCTATAGGTCATTAGTCACAATACTTGTACATAACAAGCTTGCATACCAATCACTTTCGACCGAACTCCTTAAAAGTTGATTATCAACTTATTTAAGTTATTCAATGCACGCGCAGTTCATACGGTCAATAGCAAGTCAATATTTCGTTTTGACTGACTATGGACGCTCCATTGACACACGAGAAAAGTTTTAAACATAACACACTGTGAAAAATATCTTTACGAAACTCAAATTGGGTTCTTTTATGGTATTTATTTTTGTCAAGTCGGAATCGATAAAGCGGAATATTTACTTGCACCGTACTATGTCTCAGACCGTGTTGACCATAGGTTCAAGATAAGAATAATCGCATGCAAGACTGACGGTTTTCAAAATGATTTTGTACCAAAAAAAATTACAAGATGGAACCAGCTGCCTTCTAGCATTGCCTCTACACTCCCAATATTTGTTTTATTTCATGTTAGAATTGTTCCGATTTATATGTTAGAACATGTTCCGATTTGTATATGAATTTCTCTTGCAGATTGTGATTCAGGTGAATTTGATTATTTGTTTGGCTGACTATGTATTTTTTGTATTCTACTTTTCGTAAATGCTCCCCCATTGTAATGCCAATTGGTGCTGTGGGTAATGAAATAAATAGATAAATAAAAAGTGTCGATAAGTAAGCATAAATTTAAGCACAAAGAATGTATCTCTTCAGGAAAAGTGGACTAACAGTGACATGTGCCCACCACAAACTTTAAATATGATGCCAAGTTACATTCTAGCAAATAGTTGTTGAGAATAACTTGAGATATAATGAGGATAACTTAATTGAACAAGAATGTTCAGGGGGTATCTACTGCCTTTGTTTTGGAGATCATAGTGACTGCATGCAGACCTTTCAACAAACAGGTATATTTCTAGCTGAAGAATGATTTGAGCAGCTATATTTTTTGCCGGTGACACAGGCTGAACTAATATAGATGAATCATTCGAATGGCTTTATATAAAGGTATCCATACAACGCCATATATGAAAGCATCCATATAAGACCTTATATGGATGCTTCTATATAGCCATATATGGCCATATACAGCAACACCCATATATGGGGATATAAGGCCCATATATGGCTATATCAGGATTTGGACATATCAGGTTATATACGGCCCATATATGGGGATTCCATATATGGGCCAGATATGCCCAATTCCTGATGTAGCCATATATGGGGATTTTTATATAAGTCCATATATAGGATTTTTGTAAGGGATGCCTGTTTTGTAACAACATGACTACATGCAATGCTCATGATGCGGCCGTTTCCCTAGCTTCACATATACCAAGTTTGGTATTTCGTGACGCGAACAGACGGCGAGGGTAATGACATGTCCATACATGATAATCACGACATGCGTGTCATGCAAAACTTGACTACATGCTACGGTCATTGTGTATTTGCGGCCGTTTCGCTAGCTTTACATATACTAAATTTAGTATTGCGTGACGCAAATGGACGACAAAGATAAATGACACATCCAAGCATGGTATTCATGACAAGCAAGTCATGTAAAGTATGACTCCATGCCATGCTCATGATGCACTCACGGTCGTTTCGCTAGCTTTACATGCAACGGATTCAGTAGGACGTAACGCGAACGGATGAGGAACACAAATGCCAGGCGCAAAAAACATAATAATCATGGCATGGTAGCCATTTACGGCATAGTTCACGTCCATCTCATATAGGACCGATAATTTTACTGTGATAGTTTAACCTTCCTCATTCTTGCTTCGCATATCACCGATTCCCACAGTATACGTGGGATCTACCTTTTTTTTCCTGAATGACGTATTTTCGGCCAGATATTTCAATAAAACTTGATCCCACGATTTTGATATGAAAGGCTTCATAACATAAGTCAGATATTTCGGGTTAATAATAAAAACATGCACGGATTTGCAGGGCTTATCTGCTTTCAATGCCGTTTAAATAGGGAAGTAAGCTTAATATTGTGCTGGTAGTAAAATATGTTGGTATTTTACAAGTTTGCCACCAACCTTAGGAACTGCGTGTACTGCATGTCGATTCAAACGTCTATAAAAGCAACGGGGTGCCTAGACGCTAATAGAAATATATTCGTGAAGTTGAACTCGTCTGAGAAGCCACGTGGTCAGGTCGTGTGCAAAATAATTTCTATTTGAGAGACCACATCAATTGCTTCAATTACGGTTACTGTACAGGCCTTGTGGCCGGGAATACGCACTTCGCAGTCGAAAGAGCACTCGCGAGTGGGTTAAGCGCTAATGACATTGAGCCATATGAGACGCATTTTATTATGTGTGGCTTCATAAAAATGCCATAAAGTGTAAGGTATTAGCAAGTCAATGCCACTTCCCACGCCTATATTACACGGAAATTAATCGGTTTTGCAACATGACTCTGAACTTAACTAACACAAAAAACGTAATCAATTGTTGCGCTATCATGTGCCAGAACACTGCTTGTCTGTTTTTACAGAATGTAACTGTGTTATCTTTACAGGTGTGGCTAGTGTCGCAGAAGTTTGCTCAAACGACAGTGCCATAGTGGCAGGAGATAACCCACCGACGTACAGCGGAGTACTTACGGTCGCTCATGAGATCGCACATGCGTATGTTTTATTGTCAGCATGCACACATGCACTCATTGTCTACCATTTACAACCATGAAATTCAAAGACACATTTTGTGGCACTGGTGTTGAATTTTTGTTTCTCTTATTACTAAGACACCAGCTTGATCACACTAGGCTTGTTCATTTTACACAAATGTCTTTGTTTCGTTACGCAAAGAAGGCACCACGTGTAGCACATGTAATCAAAGTTCTCATGTACGCAGAACCTTCTTATGCCCATGAAATATCCACTCATGATCTCATTATCTTAATCTGTGGTGTCTCACGAGCAGTTTGTGTAAACTATAAAGTCCTGCACGATCACACAATGTCACCCGAAGCTCGTAGTCACAAGCGGTTGATACAGCGCTACACATTTCTCGACGGAAGAGAACTGCATAAAACTCTTAATCAGATCATTTTGTGCAAAAGAACACAAAAATCTTTCTTTGAGATGACGATGATGTGTAATCAAACGAATGCCCATGTTGATCTGGCCAACATACCTCTGGCCTTCTACTTCCTATCGGAGTATAGGCAACATGAGATATGTGAATAAAAATATACATGCAAGTGATTGGCACACTACAATGCCTTGTACAGCTGTCGCGTTATTCCACGACACAATGTGCGATACCCACTATATACAGAAGCCTGTACATGTCGCATTTGTTTGTGTTCTAGTGGTTCTAACGCCGGTCATGACACACCTAATGAGGCCCTGTAAACGTTAAGGGACATTATTAAATGAGTTGACTGTAAAATGAATAATTGACTGCGGCAAATGTTTTTGAAATCCCGAAAGTCCGAGTATAATTACAGATTTTGCCACGTGCTTAAAGCACTTTCCTTCCCCTTTTGTCTAGTGAACGCACTTTAAGCTACATGATATTGGGTAGGGGGTGCGCGTAACGATGTAATGTTTTATTGTTTGTTATTGTAGCACGACAGAAGGCAGTACGAAAATGTCGTGGCATGCACCGGCGAAAATACCGGTTCACGGTGTAGAGAAGGGTCATGGACTTTCTGTTTATGAAGGGGTCAATTTAAATTATGGCATCACTTCTACAAAAAAAATAGAAGCGAGGGATTTGAAAGTTCTTTCGAAAATTGATTGTATATTCCAGGCATCATGCTGCGCTGCGATATTCCGCTGATATGTTTCTAAGGAGCCGCCACTACCGTTCGGCGGCATCTTTTGAGAATGCTCAGGAAGAGGGCCTATGTAGGTTCTAAGCTTCACGCACTTTTTAGCTCAACGTGGACTTTAACGAGCGTCGTGCGTGGTGAACACGTCCATGGTTCAAAAGAATTATTCGTTCATGAAGTGGCTGTAGTCCAGAGAATTGATCGCATGTTTAGCTGTGGCTCTCGCTCATTCGTTCACTAAAGAAGCAAGCATACACTTGCGGGTGGTTGCATGTGCTTTCAGTACGGCATAGTAGCCACCATGCTTGCTTGAATGCTGACTCAAGTCACGCAAGTGGCAGTCAATGAAGATGAGCTGCCATTGGCACATGTGCTGTGTGATGTCAGTGCTCATTTGTAAGAAAAAGTCAGTTTACTGTAATGGTTAAGCGCCGCTTATTAAGCCGTGTCTCATCGCTTGAGTCGCTTTTTTCCCGTTGAGCCTCTTAAAAAAACCTTAAGATGACAGGCTCCAGGAACATAAGCAGGAAGAAATAACACACCACATGGTTGATTATCAGACGACCACCATCACTGGTTTCACTCTGCTTGTCTTGTATGGCGAATATGCTTCTACAAAAGCGCTCCGAAAGGAGCGGAAACATCGAGTGAATGTCACTCCAGCTAGCGTATCAACCCGATTGAACGTGAACACGGAGGGATGCTGACAGAATTCAAGTGCTTTGGTAGGAATAACCCAGAGTCGTTACTGAAGAGTGTTCAACGTTACGGCAGCGAGTTGACTTGGTACATTTGTTTCCAGGCTAGGGGCCACTCACGACGGTGAAAAGTCAGAGCTTGTCATGGATGGGTATCCAAATGATCTGAACTGCGCGTGGGAAGATGAATACTTGATGAGCCCAGCGAGCGGAGGGAAAAACAGTGGAAGGCTTTCATACTGCACGAAGGAGCAAATCAAGTTTGTAGTCAGGTAGGTTAGTCCAGTTTTTATCACGGGCCGGCACACTTCGCAAGCAGCACTTTAGTATGTCAAGCGAGTTGCTGCGCTCCTTAGCTCGGGTACGCAGGTACTACTCGACACCTCACAGGAATGTAGGAATACCAGTACGCCCACACTTCGGTGCACATGAAAGGGGCTCAGATGGTCCAAGTTAATCGGGAGTACTCCTGTACCACATTCAGCCCCCCCCCCCCCCACTTCACCAACCACTTTCGTCTTGTGGTTAGGCTGGTCGCCTACTGGCTCGCTGGACATCTAATCGAATTTCGGCTGCTGCAGCTGCATACCGTAGGACGGTAAATGCTCGAGGTGCACATGTTTAGATTTAGGTGCACGTTAAACAATCGCAAGTGGTAAAAATTTCCTGTGGCCTTCATTACGGAGTTTACATTACCTAGGCGCTACCTCCAAGTTGCTTCGCATGTACTGACGTGTTTGCTCATAGTAATACTGAATTTGCGCATAACAGTAACGTTATCTTGCCGAAGGTATGCACTAATTATGGCGAACTCAGTGTTGAATTTTCATCGATATCATCATGGAATAGGATACCAGCTTCTCTAAAAATGCAAGACATTTACATCAATTTAGGACCGAACTAAAATACACTTAAACATGCTTAGCAACAGTGTTCTTTCTTTTCATAGCGTCAGTTGGTTTCAAAGCCTAAACTTTACCTAATGTAGCTTTTTCGATTTTTTCCGGCACTACTGCTTAGCTTTATTCATTGCTTCAATTTGTTTCATTGTGCATATGTCATTGTGTTCATTTCATTATGTGTAAATCACCCTTCATCCATGGTTAGTATTACTGTTTTTTTCTTTCCATAGCTTTCTTTTGTTTCAATTGCCAGATTTTATGTATTAGAGTTTTTGTATCTTTTTTCTAGTTCTACTGCTTAGCTTTATTATTCGCTTTGTTTTGTTTCATTATGGATGTTTTGTTTTCATTTCGTATATTTTTTCACAGCTATGTTTCTTACGTGTTTAGTTCATACTTATGATTATTGCTAATGTTACCTCAAACAATATGTTTTACCACAATCTGCTCTTAACACGGGGTCTCGATGCAGCCTTCGACTTTGGGACGCCCTTATGTTTGCTAACACATGAAACATTCTTGTATTGGTATCAGTAAAAAATTCTGAAAAATATCTGAAATTCTCATAATCATAACGAACTTAGCAAGTGTAGCTTGTTGACCTTGTTGGTCTAACATGTGGATAAAGTTGAGCGCGGCACTCAATTCACGAGGATAGGGCCTGCAGAACACAGAAGCGCTAATTTTCAACAATGATTCAACAGATGTTGGATCACTGAGTATATACATAGAAAAGCCCTACACTCTGGCATGCGCGAATGTTGTGGCATGAGTGAAATGACAAAATTTATTAGATGATCACAACGATGTTGAGTTGCCACATTTTTCGCCTAGCTAATGTGTCGTAGCTGATGTTTCTATGTACCACATTGTTTCATCTTTGTGCATGCGTATAACTAAGCCCTTATCAAAAAACAGGCGAACACTCACACCTACCAGAATGCGTGAATAAGAGAGCACAAAAACAATGTTAACAAGGGAGAAGATGGTCTGTTATCCGTGCATTCCTGCTCGTTTGGGTGTTTGCCTTTGTGCAGCAAAAGCCATATACGCAGGAAGCGGAATGCCTTGGCTAGTTCAGGGCTTAAGCTATGAGCACACCCTTTCCAATCATGAAGCTCTGTGTGCTACTTATTGCATGCAAAAGCAGAGTGCTAGGTTACCCAATTATTTGAGAGTGCACACGTTGCCAGTTCCTTCCTCGAGTGACAACACTTCCCATGGGCGCCTTCCCGTGGATATCATGTGCTTGCTGACGCCATGTTAGCGTGCTATTCACCGTATGCTGCGTCTGCATGGGTGTGGGTTATTTACTCCAGCTACCCCAAATGTGAAGTCATGATCATTGGTGTTAGTTTTCGGAACCGAGACGTGTCGCCAGGGTTCAATGAAATGTGTTCACATCAAATCATGGAATAGCCTCCAAACAGCTACCAATATTCTGGAAGCTGTCATATATGAATATAAAATAAACAATCTACTACGTCTGGGAAGCGACTTTTCACTATCGTGTTTACCGATTCCTACGATGCTGTGCTCAGATTTGGGTGCACCTTAAAGAACCCCAGGTGGTCGAAATTTCTGGAGCCCTCCACTACGGCATCTATCATAATCATATGGTGATTTTGTGACGGTAAACCCCACATATCAATCAATTATCAATTCCTACGAGGGAGTGATCAGCCATAATTTCTGCGGAGGGGGGAAGGTGGTCACAAAGGGGTTGCTTGCTACCTCTTGACCTGACATTATGAAGGTAGTTACTCAAGATAATTGAGCGAGATGTGTTTGACTGAGTTAAAATACACGGTAATGGTCGTTTTGCGCGTCGCCTCTCCACACCGTTGCTCTGGGCTTCGAAGCGCCTCTTCCGAGACGCTAAGTCCCCTGCATGCTCCGCTTTGCCTCTCAACGGTGTTGCCTTGGGCTGACGCATTCCCAATACCGATCATTTCTGATATAGGCAATGCACGCTTACGTGTAAAGATTACCACTCACACGCCACGGCATTTGAAGTAGCTGCAATAGAAGGCAAAAAGCAATGAGACGCAAATATTAGCTGAAATCGCACGCTGGAAAAGAATGTAAAAAACAGTTGTCTGCCATTATTCTTGAATACATGCCCCTACTCCTTGGCTCAATAATTGCAAAATGAAAGCATGCGTTCAACTCGCTCGTATTGCACATTGGGGACTATTGCAGTTGTAGCTCGGTTTATCAAAACTGTCTCATCTCCTAAAGCTGTCATTGTGGATTTCATTTTGAAAAAAAATTATTTATCTCAACTCAGGCGATAGATATATCTCACCCCGCAAACTTTCATGCTGCCGTTCGATTTGTGAAAGTAAAAAAAATCACTCAGCAAAACAGTGTCGAAAGGCTGGGGTGTAAGGCAGCCGTGTGTTGTTTGACACATGCTTTCAATTTTTTTTTTACATGAACAGGAGGTTTAATACCTTACATGCCTATATTGGAAGCTAATTTTGTCTGTCGCTAATTTGATCTGTCGTGCTTCGTTCGTAACGACGTTCTTCTTCAATTCTCCCTCATGCAGTACTTTGCCACAATATTGCATCAATATTAGTACGAAAGCGAACTACTCCAACAACTTTTATCCTGGACAAAACATGACACCAAAAATATTTTGTGAAACAATGCATCCACAACAAGAGGATGTGAACGCCTCCGAGGTATGTAGTCATGTCAGTTCTCTATTATGGCAATCCACTTTACAGGTTTGGAAGATGTTCCCGTTTATGACGGTTTTTTGCAGTTTTCACTGCTTGGAGATTTTCTTTGTTTGCTTTAAATTACGTGAAAACTCACTGACATGTCCAAGCCTCCAACATTGTCATGATTGTTATCGTCAGTAAAAATAATGGCCCTGTATCTGCATGTTTATTTGCAAATGTCGTCGAAAGATGACAGTCTTGCGTGTGGAGAGAGTGAACAAAACATTTATTTGATATTCTGTGCGAGAACATTGGTGAATGTAATTCTGGAAGCGCTGCGTTCGATCCGTGCAGCAAAGGCAAACCAGCGCATTCAGGCACGTCAGATACGAGCGTGATCTGGCAGTTATCTTCGAAAACGAAGGAAGGCGTGCGCGCCCATGGAAAAGGATGCGCGCCTGTCTCGGAGGCGATAAGGTGTAGAACGCAAAGCGATTGGCAGGTGCCACCACCGTGTCGTCTTAGCAAAGCGTCGGAAACACGTGCCTTTTTGAGAATCGCGTTGCATTCTCAGCGAAGCGTGATAAACGCTACAGACCTTAGAATTACTTTTGTCGGCCTTTTCTATTATAAAGACACGCACACGAAATATTGACTAGTAATTATAATGCCTCAGATGTGTGCAATAATTGATTTTTAATTGACAATCGCACAAGTATGAACGCTGAAACTTGAGCAATATTGGTGGGCCCTGAGGATTCGGTTGGCTGTTTGGGGTATTTCTTGGTGCCGTTTGGAGTATCGTTACGGCAGACAAACAGACAAATGTGCAGACAGACAGACAGACAGACACACAGAAATTTTCGGGTTGAAGGTCCCAAAGAAAGACTATCGTATTTATTATAATATAGCTTGGTGTCGACAAGTTTCACAAGAGCGCTTAAAATGTAACGTGTAAATCGGGGATGCTTTGAAGTATTTTTATTTAAAACCTAATGCATCACAATGCATTACGCTCTTATTTTTAATACCTACACCACACTTCTAAAACTGCTACATCGCCACATAGCTACATGGCTAGGCCAGAGTGAAAGGATGAATGAATAAATGAATGAGTGAATAAAGGATGTTCTCAAGAAATGTTAACCTAACGTTATTCAGTGCTATAACTATCTGTCACACACTCCTACGAGAAAATACAATTTCAATTTGATTCAATATTCTGTATTTGGTAGAATTCTCCTACGAAGCACCTGTCTAAAATAATGTTTTTGTTTTGTTTTTGCGTGAACTATACAATTTTCTAAATATACGCTAGAGGAAACTCTGGTGCTAACGTCTATAAGAGCGGCAACGCACAGCGCTTCAGCGAGCACGGGAATGGTGGATGGAACATGGATTTGGCTAATTTTCATACTTCTGGCTCTATGTGTGTTCGTGTGGCTTGGGGCTGTTTTCTTTCGAAAAAAAAATCAGCAAATGTCCATTGGTTCTGCTTCCCCACCTTACTTTTTAAGCTTACCATTTCAAATCGGGTCATGAAGTTCCGATAGGTAAGTTCTTTCCTTCAAAACAAAACCTAAACGCCGCAATAAACGAAGCCACAAGTGTGATCCGCCACCCACAAGTACGAAGACCAGGGAAATCGGTGTACTACCTTTTATTCCCATGGTCGCGGAACGATTGCAGCGCCAGAGCTCCCTCTAGTTAATTTCAGGAAACTCTGTGGCGTGAACATCGAGTCATGAACTTAAAATTCTCATTCGATGCATGTCAACTAAAATCTTGAATAGTTATACTGCAACCCCGAAAGACTTAATGTAATGAAACGTGTGTTTAAGAACACCATTCTTCAGGTTAACAGAGTATTTTTGACACGTTTTGCTATAGATGTCATCATGTACTGACTTTCTTCCTTTTTACTTGTGCTAGCGGATTAAAACTGCTTACAAACGACATCTAAACTTGTAGCTGCCTACGAGTGATTCCAAGCATAATACAGCAAGAAAAAGAAACATCCCTTACAGGTTATTGGTCACGAGAATGATTACACTGCTTTTCTGGAGTGATATACACACTAAAATCAAATAGTGACACCATGGGTAGAAAAAAGAAGTGCAGCTCATGCAGACTCAATCAATGTTATACATTTTGTTCTTCGAGATAACTCGGACTAACCAATATTTACCAATTTTGACTCACTATTCCTCAAACTCACCAAATATGGCTCACCCGCGCTCACTCAGCCTCAGACTCGAGTCTTGATCTGAGTCTGAGGATGAGTCAGTTTGCAGACCTGTTGATCACAGTAGCGTAACTTGCGTCGGCTAGTTATTAGTTCACCATACGTGCTACAGATCAGATGTGATTGATCATCGGTATGTTTTCTGTGGTTGTGCGGCGCTTATGGTGCTCGTCTCCTGACATCTAGGTGACGGGTCTGATTTCCACCACGGCAGTCACATTTAGGTGAAGGCAAATCGCGAGAAGACCTTGCGCTGTGTGAATCAGAGTACATTGAGTAACACCAGATAGCAGAAGTTTCCGAACTCCTCCACTACGGCATGTTTCATAATCATAAGTCGGTTTTTCATGTAAAACCCCAGATATTATACTTAAAACGTCTCTATATGTGAACCGAAACGACTTATCTCGCTAGTTGGTGCATGGTGCAATACAAAAGCTGGAGGCACAAAGAACGAGCACTAGAAAGCCAGTTTTGTCACCAGTCCTGCCTTTCCTTGTCCTAATTCCTTTGCTCTCCAATCTTTATTAGTCCATTTTATTATCATAGTGTTTTAGCTGTGGCGGCGTCATGTGCTAATCACGGGCAGGCGGCTCAGATTAGCGACCCTTTCGAGCTGAGTTTGATGGTTCGAAATACAAAAACGCATTGGCATACGTAATCATGTCAACCTTAAAGACAAACACGTGGTCAAGTACAATCGACAGGATCCGATAATGCTTCCTTCATAACTATGTCATACCCGTAACACGTAAAGCCGTGAATTTTTTTTACTTTTTCATTTCTGTTCTCATCAAATACGCCATGTGTAGCTGAGTTGTTCTTTGTCTGGCGCGTCGTGTCACCTTTGCTTCTTTTTCTGTTACTTCATGCAGCCCAATGGCAGTGGCGATCAACAATGCACAATAGAGTGTTGCTGGAAATATGAACTTGAAAATGTGCAAGAGCGAGAGGTCATCAGCATTGACGATTCGGAGATTTCCCACGACAGCAGTGAGTACTATTATGGAGAGCCCAGGGATTGTGAAAAGCACAGCATGCCAGAAGCAATGTCTTGTGGCGAAAATAAGGTACCTATAAAAGCTGTATTCCCATTTGTTTGCGCAGAGCCAGTATAATTGCTTTTTTCTCGTTCTAAGGTATTGCACTCCATATCGTTGCGGGTGAAGACTCGTTTCACAATACATTTGCAACGTATGTAGAATAGGGATGGAAATACCTATACACAGTGTGACGTCTACACTCTCTGCTGCTTCTCATTTGTTATCAATCTGTTGTAGCTTGAATGGTGAAAAAAATGTAGCTGATCCCTTTTGCTAGGAATTGGTATAACATGAAATCCTAGCATGTCTTCTCACAGGTAGTTAGCGTTTATTGTGCATTGTCTCGCCACAAGGACAAAACAATGAGTGCTGCAGCAACTCCAAAGTCACGCGGAGAAGGACAACCAGCTCAAACCTTGCAGCGTGCACCTCAAGCAGAAAGCGCGAAAAAAATGAGCATGCTCTGATGACCGCCAAACGGTATATGATGCGTATAAATGGCTTGTCATCAGTAGTTTTGGCAACGCACGCTCCGTGGCCTAGTGGTTAGTGCTGCGCGCTGAGGATGGAGAGGTCGCTAGTTCGACGCCCCACAACAGAAATTTTCCTCATCGCATTTTGAATTAAATTTGTTAGTGTATATTGTGCAAGGTCACATCCGTGACAGGAGTACGTCAGCATAGCCGTGGTGGACCCCGGCATATAACACGTTCGTGTTGAAAAAGACACTAGGGCCATGCATCATACAAGAAAGAAACATTCTAGCATCTACTTAGTGCCACCTACGTTAAGTGTGTGATGGAAACAGCGCATCGCACCGTTAGCGTGTGTTTATAGCGGAGCAGTCGGTGACAAGCACAGAACAGCCAAGGCCCCCAAATCTTGTTCTTGTTCATCGTTTCTTGTGACTCATACCCACTGACGGGGATTTGGCTGAGTACTGAGTGGTCTTTTAAAATCTTACGGAGTTTTAGAGAAATGAAGGTCTTAGAATAAAGATATCACAAACTTTGCATTGAAATGAGATGCTCACGCAAATGTACCCAATACGAAGCTTTTTATCAGTAATAGTTAATAAAATAAATTAACATTCTCATTTCTCAAGAAAAAATATAAGTAGGATAAATGTTATGCCTGTGTGGACACAGAGAAATTATCGGGGAGCGTCGTATTCTTTCGCATTATTTTCTTCTTGAATGCTGGTAGCTCATCGTAGAAATGCAGACTCTGGCTCCTATATCTATCTGCAAAACTATAGTGACCATAAAGCTAATATTTTTAATGCTTTATCAAGTGCTTAAGAGACTGTCGGCGTCGGGAGCGTCAGCACGACGTGGTGGCGAAAAATGACGGTGCGGTGGCGCCGCCATTACACGTACCCTTATGCTCCGTGTTGCCTAAGTTGGTGGTGCTCTCCCTGACTTCAATTGGACGTAACATGGTGGCATCATCATCAGACATTGTCGCTCGCTCAGACGTGGGCCTTTCACGGAGGCGTAAAAAAAGCCACATATGAGGAGAAGAATGCTTATAATTTCTGTGATCCGCGAAACAGTGCAAACCACGTCAAGAACGGGGAGCATTTGAAATAAATTAATACAGGAGACTCTAAGAAAAAGAATGCGGCTTTCACCTTCCAGTCGCCTAAACAGGCGCGTAAATGACCATGTGAAATCTGCTATTCCACTTGCGGCAACTTGGCCGAGGTGCAGCAAGCACATTTATAGCGCTGCAAAACACGCAGATCGTAACATGTTCATGCAAAACGTAACCTCACATTTATGTGTAAATTCAGTGTGCCAACGAGACGTTAAACTGTTAGTGACCAAACGTAACATAATTTGAACTGCTTCTTTGACGCAACTTTAGTATATTGCAACTGATAATGAAGCCAAGCAAGGTATGGGGGGCATTGTTTGCACTGTTTTACCTGTATGGTAGTGCGATGTACACATGCACAGAGAAAAATGAACAAAAATACAGTTTGCACTAGGCAGTGACTGAACCTGCAACATTTAAATAATTCACCTGGTGCTGTTTTACTCAGATGCAGGGGGGGAGGGGTTAGTCCTTTCATCTACTTTGCTGACTGTTTAAGTGCATGCGAACCTCGAAGTGTTTTGGAGCGCCGCTCGTAGCCATGGCGGAAGGTGTGAAATACTCTTCTGCAGCAATCTGGCGTCACATAACTGCTATTCAGATAACTTTTAGATGCTTCCTTCAATACTATCTTCCTTTCCACAAATCTCATAGGAAGTCACCATTATGATGTGAGACCAGGTTGTTTGCTTTAACCTCTAATATACAAAGAATTCAAGGGCAGTTCTTGTAAGCCAGCCAAAAATATGGGAATCGTAAAAAGTGAAATTGTAGTTCAGAGAAAAAAGCCATAAAACATTGTAGCATACCAACTACAATTTTTCAGTAGGTGTTCACACTGTCAAAAGAATTGTACTTACTACTTACTTTACCTCATTTACAGACGTGCAGACAGGTGTCTGTGGCGAACACAACTGGACCGAGATATACAAGTTGTATCATACATACCGCACATTTCAGACCCTATGATTTGTTTTCCACTGGGCGTCGGGCACCTCACAGCAGCAGAATGTCACTTTTGCTTTGGCGAAGAGATATTTAGGAACCAAGCAATGCAATCCTTCGAATGCCATAAAAGCATAAAACCTACATCCGTTGAACAAATACAATTCAAGTTTTCCTTATTCACTAAATGTTTTCGATAATTCAATTCTGCTTTGTCCTTTAGGCGGAAAACCCGAGAGGAACCCCGCCATTCCTCAAAAGTGTCACGCGTAATTGTATGGCATTATCTGAGCGAAAAGGTTGCACACTGGCGTATGTTATAAGAACACTCACCTGGTCCTTTATCATTTGCCAAAAACCGACGTTGAACGTGAAAGCGGTCCTCTTTCTTCGTGTCAGTTTATGTGTAGATCATCCCGCAACCTTTCGGAAAGCTTCTGAAGCTTAGCATGCCTCCAGGTTCACATGTATTGCAAGTTTTCGGCATGTCACCTAGTTTTGTATTATATCGGCGATCTACACACCTTTGGCCATGCTAACATGTCATGGGAAGACGGCCAGATGGGGCTAATTACCAATTTATAAAGCGCGTCCGCAAGAATGCGCGTCGGAGAAGACTTCGATAGGGGTGAGCGAGGGAGATGACGTCTTCGAGACCATGCGAAAGAGTGCATATACAATGGACATGAAACAGGTGATTTCTTCCATTTGAGGACCATACCTAAAGCTTTCTTATGCGACAACAAGTGAGGTTTTGTCGTCATGACTTCGGCAACACACGCAGGAAAGGCAAGGGAAGCAATAACAAGCAACTTTCGTCATGTTTAAGACACAGGGCCTGAAAAAGTAAAGAAGTTAGCATTGAAGCAGTGCGAAGACTTGAAGTTGGGCAAGTTTGCTGCGTCTCTCAAGGAACGCAAGCACTCTTGCTTCTCAGTATTTTTTCCACCAAGATTCACAAGCCTAAACATCCATTTGGCGTTGCAGTTTCAGAGCGAGGCACTTGGGGGAATTGCGTGGGGCTGTTATTGCAGCAGTCGCTAGCCCTGCTGTTTTTTGATGACCCTTCTCTTGTTACGTAAGCGCATAATTTCTCAGTCTCCCTCGAATTGAGCAATCAAAGTCGTGAGTGTTTTCCAATACACCTGAAAGATCTTTACTACTCAGCACCACATCCGTCAGTTTTGAAGCAGTTGACGAGGCCATTGACAATACGAGTATAGCTGCCATATCGTTTTATAATCTGCTGAATGTACGATTTTGTGGCCGAGCTGTTAACAACACGCGCATAATCCAAGATACTACGTACGACGCAACGATAAAGTTTCCGTAGGCATAACCTAACGAAACCCCAATGCTTATGGGACAGAACATTTATTACATGAAGTTCCTTATTCAAGGGAATTACGATGAGCGGGGTGAAGCTCTGGGGGATTTCATCGCTAAACCACGAACCATCCGTGATAATCACCCACTACATCATCAAAGGCGTGACAAACACTGTATATACTTGCGTACATGCGTAAGCACTGGCCGGGTGGTGTTGATTTGCGTCCAGGTAGACTACAGTCCAAAAAGGTGGGCTTTGACGGTTCGCCCGGAGTGCTGGCCTTCCGGATTTTGAAATCTAGTGACTCTATCGGCAGAGGGGTCGTAGCGTTTAACTAGCGTTGGAGTTCTCAGGTCTCATGACATCGCTGACCATTCCTATTAGGCGGTCAGGCTGGTTGTATGGCGCACCGGGCCTCTCCCAAAGCACCTGTCCCAAAGTGGTTCGTTCCTGGCAATCGTTTACAATTCGTAGCCATACGTCGCTTCCTTTCCCCCTTCGTTATAACGGCTTTATTCTCGGTGAAGTGGTGGATCGGTGATTGAGCGTAGTGGGATGTTGGCAAGGACGAAGTAGTGGGCGGTTTGCAAAGGTGGAACTAAAGGCGTTCACGTACAAACAAGAAATGGACAGACCCGCACCTTCAGGAGATTCGCCCTTAAAAGCTCTGTAGGCGTCAGCGCTACAGCATTTTCGCGCCCGACATCACAGATGGTGAGGTCAGTCCCGTGGCTGAATGTACAGCAGCACGTTCGTTGGATTACGCATCTTGAATGCACAGTCCCATACTTCCGAAATCATGTCGACGGTAAATCTATGGTGGTGCTGCTGGTATTCTGTAAGCTATACTTCTATAAGCTACACTTCTGTAAGTGTCCAGCGGTTACAACACGCTCCGAGCTATTGGTGTCTGCATCTTGCTCAGCAATAAATGAAAAGCGCCGACTACGATGCGGACCATGACGAAAACTTTTCCATCTTCGTCCGTCACTTTGTAAGGTGGAGATGAGCTCACCCTTTCTGTCGAATTCTGGCGTCCCTAGTAAGGTGCAAGTAGCTTTGGGAGTTCAGGCGGAACTTCAATCTCGTGGATGGTAGAAGTGTCCTTGTCCTTAGGCGCGGCTACGTTTAGCCTGGTGGCATATATAAAGCG